CAATAAAAAGGCGAAAATTCCTGTTCAGCCGTCGAGCAGACAGGCAATATCGATTTCTCGACTTCCCGTACCGAATGATGAACGGGGGAATTTCACCGCTGTGCACACCTGTAAGACGACAGACGCCACCTCCACATTTCCTTAAACGTTCTTCTTTGAAGAAAGGAAGGAAGACGATTCTTTTTTTCTTTTTCTTTCGATTCGATTTGAAAGTCTTGGAATATATTTGAAGCAAAGAGAATGGAATGACGAGGCTATTCCCGTAAAGAATGGGACAACGTGTGAAAAATTAAACTCGAACGCGCGAGAAAATTAAAATATTAAATTTTATACTAATTTCTAATCATTCTTACGTTTATTATCGCGCACGTTGGAAATTGATCGAAAATGTTTTTAATCATATTCTTGAGAGATAGCCTTATCTACCTGAACCATTAACTAACACCAATTGCACATCATTTTCTTTTTTTCTTCAACTCTCAAGAAACAAATAAAACGTCGTAATTTAAACGATTTTTTATATCAATATAAAAAAAACACATCGATTCGCATGACTTCGATTAACGTATGACTTTTACGTTTTTTTTTTTTTTTTTTTTTTTTTTTTCTTCGAAAAAATTCCCGAAAGACTGGGGGCACGGTTTTTTTAAAAGGTAGTTTTTTTTTTTTTGTTTTTTTTTGTTATGATTCCTTCGAAAGAATTCCAGAAAGAGCGAGGTCACGATTTTTTAAAAAAGTAGTTTTTTTTTTTTCTTATGTTCGTTGCTTCGAGTTCGCTTCTCTTTTTGTAAAAAAAAAAAAAAAAAAAAAAAAAAAAAAACGTAAGGAGACAACGTTAAGACCAGTAAATTAACCAAACCACGTGATTCGGCGTTTTGCAGGCTATCGTTGCATAAGCTTTGACCACGGATTATATTCGCGGCTAACCGTGTTCCTATCCTGATCCGGTTCACACAAGTACCTCGCCGGGCCAGTCGATTTACCGAAATAACGCATAATCGTTTCTAAGAGGTTGAGGTCACCACCTCGGTTGCAAGATCGCCGCGTATCGCCACGACTTCTCGTTTCTGCACGTATGCCCCACATACACGATGATTCCATAACCCTTTGAACGACGACATCAACGGCGTGTCGATTGGGACACGTCGACGTAGTGTGGCGGTGGCGTCGAGTGGATCGAAAGAAGACGGACGGACGAAGAAGGAAGCCACCTCTTACGCGCTGGACCTTTTGGGACTGGTTCCAGACCGTTTTCCCTCTCTCTGTCTCTCTCTCTGGAGCCGCGCGGTAGGGGAGAGGGAGAGAGGGAGAGGGAGGGAAGGAGACCGTGGGAAGCACGAGCGATATGCATACCCAATGACCGGATGACCTTCGCCCGTTGCATAAAGATGCCTTTAATTGACGGCGCACGCGAAAACACGTTCGCCGGTCTGGTGTCGCGTTGTTGCTCGATAAAGCGAAGTCGTCCGCCCCTCCTCCTTTTGGACCACCTCGAAGACATTAATTCGCTTATTCGAAGGCACAAAGAGAGGAGAAACCGAGCAGAAGGAACCGCGTGAAATTCGACCAGATGGCGCCTAAGTCGATTAGAGAATTTTCATTTCCAATTGATTTTTCTATAATATGATCGATCGAACTGTTAAACGTCGAAATTAATTCCCTCGAACTCTTAATCTTGTTACCCAGTTTTAGAATTAGGATTTCGGTTGAAAATTGAATTTCCTCCATTCTTACCTTCTATTAAAAATCTCCTTCCCTTTGGAAAAGGTCCATCTCCAATGGACAAGAACGAATCAAAATCGGAACAATTGGAAACGAAGGGAGAGCCAAAGTCTTTTTTTCGTCGCGTAAGCGTGCAAAACGTTGCAAAACCGCGGCGTGCGTTCAGAACGCCGGCCTTTTTTCCTTTCGTGGTCGTTCACCTGGACGCAATTACCAAACGAAACTCGTGCATTTCTGTTTCATCGCGCGTAAACAGGAAGCGGATCACTGCCAGCGAGCCCCGCGGACAGCGGAGTCAGCGACGTCGAGTCCAGCACGTCCTCAGGCGGTAACGAGGACGCGAATCTCTTATTGAAAGCAAGGCTCAATCCCAATTCGTCCCTTCAGCCAAGCCTGGCGTCTCATCATTCTCATTTGTCATCAGGTAAGCATACCTTCAATTTCCTCTGATAAACTTATTATATTTTCAATCTTCCAGTAACTAACGAGTAAGTCATAATTCACGAAATTGTTAGATCGTTCCAATTCTCTATGAATCATGAGGTGAACATGAGGTGAGGTATGCCTTTTGAATTCCTGTTGGACGAATCCAAGTGAAAAATGCAAGGATTAAAGATAAAACGTTTGGTTTAAAAATGAGGAAAGGAAGATGAAAGGAATTTTTGAATGTTGTTGAAGTTTGTTGGATCATAGAATCTTATTTGATTCAGATGTGAAAAATATTGATGGACAATGTTTATAAAAATCTGTTCTTTTTACCTTTCTTTTAAACTATGTGACATCTTTTCCAAATTAATAAACCTCAACAGAGACATGTATAAAAAAATCAATAATAAAATCTCAATCCATATGACTATCACAGATATATTACAGATATATATCCTTACTTTCTAATGAATCTTCCTCTTATCATCACTTTTATAGCATCAGATTTTTATAATGGGTCACTGTATAAAATATTATATTCATGGGACAACTTTAGACTGATTCTAAGAAGCCAAGATAGCAAAGAATTAATATGCAAAAATATTACTCAATTATTAAGTCAAAAACAATTTAAGTTAGATGAAATTAAAGTCAAAATGCAGTGTGATGAAAATACAATTAAACCTCTCAAAATAAAACTTAAACTTTCCTACATTTCCTGATGCTATGATATAATATATTTATAACTTATAAAGGAAAATCTATGTGAATAGGATTAGTGGGAAATAAGGAAGTATATTTGTCAAATGAAATAATATATATAACACGCGGTTTCTCACTGAATATCTCGATTGATTGTTCACAGCAGCGCTCGGCAGGTCGGCCTGTCACAGTCCTGGTGTTTATCCGTCGACGGCGGGCTTCCTGCCGCCCTCCTATCATCCTCATCAGCATCATCCCTCCCAGTACCATCCGCATAGAGGGAGCTCGCCTCACCATCAACACGGGAACCACACGATGGGCCCCACAATGGGACCGCCCCATCATCATCACCATCATCAAACGCAGAGTCTACAACACTTGCATTATCGTCAGCCTCCTACATGTAAGTTCCACCAACTTTCTTCTTTTCTTTTTCCTTTTTTTTTTTTCTCTCTTTTTTTTTTTTT